AACATGTCCAGAATTTCTGGTCCTTTTCCCCGACTCCTGACACTCCTGAAATCTTTCCTATTTCAGTCAACAATACCAACATCTGCCCCGTCGGCCAAGTAAAAAGTCCTAGGAACCATTCATTCACATTTCCTTCCTTTCCCTGCCCACCCCAAACACGATCCTTCAGCACACCCTGTCAGCTCTACCTCCAGAAGAAAGTCTGAATCTGGTCACTTTTCAACCTCCACTACCACCTTCCTAGCCCAAGCCAGGAGGATCCTTGTATTGTCCTTCAATCCATTCTCCATAATATAGCTGCTTTTTAGAGCATAAATCAGACCATGTTACTCCTCTTTCAACACCATCCAAACCGTCCCATCGTGCTTAGAATAAGGCCCATATTTGTTATAATGGCCGTTAAGGCCCTGCATCATCTGGCTCTTGCCCACTGCGGAGTCCTCATCTCATCCACCCCTCTCTCCACACTGCTCACTTTAGCCACACGGACTTTCCTTGCTGTTTCTGAACAAGCCAGCTTTGTTCGTCTTTGCACCAGCTGCTCCTTTAGCCTGGAATGTTCTTGCCCTAGCAATTCATGTGGCTGTCTCCTTTTTGTCATTCTGGTCTCAGTTCAAATGTCACCTCTCCAGGCCTTCTCCAGCCAGAAATGTACACTCTGAGAGTGGGAACTGTATTTTGTTCATGATGGTGTCCTCCAGCCTTGACCGGGTCCCTGACACATTGGGGTAATGCAATAAATATTGGTTGAATAAAGAACAGGATGACTGTAAAAGCAGGCTGTTTCTTGCTATTCCAAGAGAGCTGGAGATGAGAAAAAGAATCTGTTATGAATGGACTAGATGCTTTGCTCAGAGATTCACAGGTGTGTGTACCTTGGTAGTGGGGGCCTTGCCTACTACACTGAGGTTCCAGAGAAGAGTTAATGGGGCCTCATCTTTACTAGGTTCAGGGGATTTTAGAGGGTTTCTCTGAGCAAGAGAAAAAGCACAGAGGGCTGACCTTGTGTCTCCGAGGGCAGTCACAGTGGAAGAAAAAAGATGGAAATGTAAGACCCACTACCCCACTTAAAAACCATTGAGTTGGATCAACTGGATCAATTGAGGTTTCTATTTTGTTCCTTCTTCAGAGTCATGAGAAGCAGAGCTGCTCCCTGCTTCTTCCTGAAAGCTACTCCCTAGCGCTATCTCCATAACATTTATAAGGCCCTGTGGTTTTAAGCTCCCATAGGAAATGCGGTGGGCCACCCTAAATCTACCTTCAGATGACCTACTTGGGTTCAGAATTGGACTAAGGAGGGATGGGAAGGACCACTGGAGGACATGACCCTAAGATTTCTGTAGGCCTTGCTTGCAATAGCCAACCATCACCTCAGCTAGTTAGCCAAGGCCTTAAAACTGAGGTCAACGGCTTTTATTTTATTTTTGCTCTCAATTTCCCCAAAGAGCCGAGGGCAATCATTCTATAAATGTTCACGATGGAGTGAGCCATAGACTTCACGTTAGCCTGTGTTTTAGTAGGCCTTATTGTTCTTCATTTCAAAATCCCAAAGAGTTACCATCAGGTGGTTGATAGAAATTAAAAATAATTGATATAAAATTAGAAACTTAGCTGCAAAAATAACTATGACCTCCACTATCCCTCCAAACCTCCAAGTGGTCACAATTTAAATTGTGTTCTTTAAGGCTAATAGCCCTGATTTTTTAAAAAAAGATTTTAAATTGATTTTTAGAGAGAGGAAGGGAAAGGGAGAGAAAGAAACATCAAAGGGAGAGTAAAACATTGATCAGCTGCCGCTTGCACGCCCCCTACTGGGGATCAGGCCCATAACCCAGGCATGTGCCCTAACTGGGAATCAAACCTGTGACCTTTTGGTGCATGGGACTACGCTGCTCAACCTACTGGGCCACACAGGCTAGTAGCCTTGATATTTTACATTCAACATTGTTTCTAAAATGTTTGAGAAAAAGCCAGTTAAATCTCCTCAAATTTAGAAATACAAGTTAATACTTGCTGTCCATTTCAAGAGGTAATTCTTGGACTACATTTGTATTCTGGGATTTGCTAGTGACTCATATGACCATAGGATATGAGGACAGACGGAAACATGGAGAGGTTCTATATAAATCAATAATTGGAGGAGGGGCGAGGGACTGTCCGCTTTGGTGATTTCATTTTCAGCCACAGCTGGCCAGATTGCTTATTGGGAAATAAAAGTCATAGCAAATTGAGCTTGACAATAACGAGGCCTGACTCCATAGGCCCCTTCTCTACTCTCTGCAATTAGAATGAGTGGGGGAGGGGAGGCCAACAGGGAAAGACTTTTCCCCTCTGTCACCGATCAGTCTTAGTTTATTCTGTAGGCCACAAGCCATATGTCATGCGTGCTAAGTGCTGCTCTCTGTCAACCTGCGGACTCTGTTGTTCTCGCGCCTCCCGGCCAGCCGAGGTGCTACCGCTTCTGACTTCCAAGGCCATGAAAATTGAGAGGCGTGCTGTCCAACGCAGAGCCACTATTTACATTTACATAAAATAAAGTAAAAAAACTCAACCCTTCAGTTGCACTAGAGCTTTTCAAGTGCTCAGAGTCCCATGTGGCTCGTGGTTACTGTACTGGACTGTAGATAGAGAACGTCTCTCACTTTCCAGAAAGTTCCATCAGGCAGCTCTGATCCAGAAGACTCATTTGGTGCCAAGGGCCCTTGCTTTTTTGTTCACAGACTCTGAGACCACAGCTGCCTTTGTGGTGCAGGAGAGGAGGGGTCTGCTAGAGTTGGGGAGTTCTCTGGGGGCTGTGTATCCACCTGGAAAGCGGATGCCACGAATCTGTGACTCAGGTCACGGCGTAAGGGACCTCAAACCAAGGACAGACTCTGAACTAACCTCCCGGCTTTCAATAGGGGCATAAACTGTGTGTGTGTTCATTCTACTGAACTGCAAAAGGCACGTGGAGACCTTGACCCTGTATGTGCCACCTTTTTCATTGCTACTGCCGAGTGATCCTTGACAAAATTGCCTTTTATCTTCTGTGTGGCTATGCAAGCCTCTCCCATCTCTGATGACAACAATTTACAAAAGCTCTGATAATTCACCTTTGCTGATAGGATAGTCATTGAAATCATAACTCCGACACCCGCTGCCCCCAACCCAGCCACTATGACTGGTTCCACTAGCTTCTTACCCCAAATGCATTAGTCATTGCACCCTGCTTGCATTGTTAAATCCCTAATTTATTTACTACCTTCAAAGATGTTGTACATCATCTTCCAAAAATAAAGTTGCAGAAGAAAACCCAGAAGCACTCTAGAACACGGAGCAGCATAACCCACCCTTTCCGACTTGGATCAGAATTTATGCTGTACAACTCCGTTGCTGAACATTGGGGGCCCGACAAATGAAAGAGAAAGCCCTTTTACCTAGAAATTGACATAAAATCGGGGAGTGCTATATTTGAAAGGTTGAAGTGTTAACATTTGGTAAACTTTCTGGCATCTGAGTTTGGTAAACCCTCAAATCCCAACTCTACTGCTAGACTGAAATAAATTTAGAGCTTTTCCCTTCGAGCATATTTGTACATATGATCTGCACTGCACACCCATGTGGCTCTTTTCTCTGCACTAGCCTCTGGCAATCAGGATTAGCCATTATTATTCTACTTTCACAGGTGGGCAAATGGAGGCAGAAGGGGTGAAGGACACGCCTCCCGCAGGGCAGAGAAGCGTGGTTTTACTTCCGACACTGCACACAAAGTTTATGTCACAGCTGGAACATGCGGGCACTGGTTTTAACGCCAGCTATTCTGTTCACAGTGATGCTGCCTTGTCTCAAAAATTTAAGGAGAGATCTGGCACCCTAAGGTCAAGGCAACTGAACGAAATGAATAGCATAAAATGTTAAGAGTGATGAAACCTATTTGCAACATTTCCCTCATGTGCAAGCACCCTATTTGTGCCATTTGAGTAGATAATATACATGATTATCCACTGGGTCCCCCAGAAGCTCAATCTGCCTGTTGGAGGGGGACGCTGGGTGCCGGTGAGAACTGGACCACGGACCATGAACATTGAGGTAACTTGATGCGAAGTGGCAGGGAGAGGGAAAGGAGAGACTTGAGAATTAAGGCTAGAACTAGAAGCCAAACCCACAAATCAGGATCGGTCAAATCAGTTTTGAAATATCAGCCCCCCAGTTTTTTGAACAGTATAGCTGGCTTTTTGGCCAACTTGGCAAAGTGAAACTCGTAGTTCACGTGGGCACAGAGACCAAAGTGTTCGCTCACGTGCCCATATACCAAGCACTTCCTTGGGAGGCTCTCCCAGGTTCACAGGGCTCTCAGGAAGGGTGGGGCACCTTGTCCCTTTCTCCATCGCCTGTAGTGAATGGCGAAGCCCTGGCCAGGGGCACCTGTAGGCTGTGCTCTCTACTGAGGAGGTGGTGGCTGGGGCCCAGTGGTGCATGTGCCTGGAACGTGCATCAGCGGGGGAGGCTTCACTCCAAATGGGGGGCCTCTGCCGTCAACCCTGCAGCTCTGGGTTGGGGCTCAATGTGGGAATTCTCACTTAAAAGCATTTTCTCCTTCTGTTTTCAGATGGGGATTTGCAACATCCAAAGAAGGGCCTTCACAGTTTTATTTGCTGCTCTTTCCTATGCTCCAAATTTGGCTTTAGGCCGCCTATTTTCAGTGTCTGGGAACCTCAAGAAGGGAGTAATGCATAAAACCTCCAGCTAATTCGAATCCTTCCCCAGGGCTTGGCATTTAGCTGCAGCTCCATCAGGCATTTTGAATGGGGAAAAAAAAAAAGACACATGCAGCCTCTCTAAGTAGAGGGGCCTTAAAGAAAACGTGGTCCTTTTAAGCCGGTTTTGTGCTCTGTCTGGCTGTAGCAGCGGACAATAGAAATGGATACGTGTTGCCTGTCATTCCTATGTAAATGTCACTGGAGGATACAGTCCTCACCAGGCAGATGGCTCACTTCTCCGCCCTAACCTCATTTCTCCAGCGCTCCTGTGTTCGTGTGATGTCCTGCCCCGGGAGTCAGGTCCTAATTGCTGTCAAATGTTCAGAGATAAAAGTGGCGTCTACACATCATTCACGCGAAGGCTGTTCCTGGCTGTGAACTGTGGTGGTGGCGGCGGCGACAGCAGCGGCTGCAACACAGGCTGCGTGGCGGGCCGTACCTGGCAGCACCCGGCTGCTCAGAGCTGGCTTTCCTGCTTCCGCGTGTCAGCCCGAACACTTTTCTTTGTTGCTGCTTGCAGCCCCGCACTCCCATGTGCCGGGAGCCTCGCACCCTTCTGTTAGGATCAATAACTGCACCTCTCGAGTTCAGACTGTCTCTTGGCGTCAGTCTGACATGCAAATCTGGGCAGGACCAAGAGAGGGCCCATTTATCCCGTCACAGATTGGGGGGGCGCGCGGGAAGCGGTTCACGTGTGGCCCCCTCAAGAGCCCCGCTGCCACAGAGCAGACAGGTAATCCCAACAGCCAGGACCCTGCCAGTCAGCCACTGGCCGTCGGGCTGGGTGCACATTCATCTTCAAATTATGTTGTGTGACAGCCCGGGCTGCGGAACACCATTTTAACATGCAGATTGACTCCTCCGAGGCTCTTCATTATGCATTTAGCGGCCTGTTTTCAGACTAACCAGCATGTCAGGGAGGCCCGCTCTCCCTTCTCCACCTGCGGGGAGCAAACAGCTCCGGACTGTGGGGGAGCCGCACGTATTCAGATGCATATGTTTACTTTCCCGAGCATCTGCACACAGCAGCTTTCTCTGATGCAAGAGGAGGAGAAGAAGAAAAGACCTTTGGTTCTGAAAGTCAAGGAAAATGGCTATGCACACAAGGGAGCCTTTGTGGAGGAGAGGAGTCGGCCAGGCCAGGCCGGCCTGATGCCCGCCCGGCTGTCCTGAGCCTGCCTGGGTGCGTCCACACAAGCGCTGCTCTTATTGGCACACAGACCCTCTCTTTCTCTCACACACACAGCCTGAAGTATTTTAAGCAGAACACTTCCAATTTCCTGTTTCTAAAACTGTCTTGCATCTCCAGCGGCATTCCAAGCAATCCTGGGGAGTGACAGGACGAGCCTCCTTAGTGAGTGAGCGCAGTAGGGTGAGGTGGCTCGGGGGTTACCTAGGGGGCTCTGGGTCCCTTTGTCAGCCCTTCCCTCTTCTCTTCCTAGTGCGACTGACTTCTCCTTGCTGGGGACATTTCTCTGTGGCCCGGGGTTACGATGGCATGAACACGGATGTTTTCCTGTGTGTGAGCATATGTGTGTGTGTGTCTCCTGTCCCGAGGGTCTCTTTCCCTTCCTTAAAAGGAACCACATTTGCATTGGCCGGGTGGCTCAGTTGGTTGGAGTATCATCCCATACACCGAAACGCTGCTGGTTCCATCCCGGGTCAGGGCACATACGGGAGGCAGCCAATCACTGTTTTTCTCATACATCGGTGTTTCTTTCTCTCTCTCCCCCACTTCCTCTCTTTAAAAAAATAAAAAAAAAAATAAAATCAACAAAAACACAGCCTTAGGTGAGGATTTAAAAAAATAATGGAAATAAAATTCCTGCCTCTTCCGTTTAGTCCCTAGATGTGGTATTCTTCTCGATTCTTCTGAAAGACCAACAGACAGGGCACCCAATTCCTGGACCTTCCTTGGCTATGACTCGGCCCAGGCAGCAGCCCCAGCTTTTGCCTCTGGTTGTTCGGGGTGGGAGGGAGAAATGGAATAGTGGGGGCGAGCTATAGTTATAAGAAATACTAACCATGCTCCGTTAACTGTGATTGCTCTGCTCTGACTAGAGAAAGCACATTCTGGTCTGGCTGAGCGCTGTGCTCCCTGGCACGTGGGAGTTAACCTCGGAATGCGGTCCATTCTCCTTTTCCAAGAACTGCCCATCGTCATGGAAAGACTAAAAACCTTGTTGCCTTAACAATGGAGTCCCGGAGGTGTGGCGCCTATGTGACCTCCGCGAGCCCGCACGGCCTGTAACCTGTATCCATTACACCTTGCCTACCTCCCTGTGCCTATAATTCCTACTTTCCCATGTAATCTTTGTCCTTCTACTCAATGTAAGCAGCTGGTTTAGGGGGGCGGGGGTGGTGGCGGGGGAGGCAGAGCAGATTTTCTTGGATGACCTGCTGCTCTCCCGCACTGCCGGCATTATTGGAATAAACGCTCATACATGATTCAACCCTGTCTCTGCTTAACTGGCTCAAGTAGTGACAGGCAGCCCGGTCCTGTTCATTATCTGGTTTCATGGTCAGTGGGAGCTTCTCAATTGGGGACCGGGGAGGGCTCTCCTGCTTCGTTTCTCTGCAGCTACCGGAGAAAGGTCCTGGACAGGCTTAGAAGGCTGGCGCGGACACAAGAGCTGAGGAGGCCAGGACCGACACCTGATTTCCTGACTGACAGCCACCCTGCCACGTGCCCCTGGTATCCACTGTCTGAACGGCAGCCTGGCCCTCAGCCCCGGGGCCCTCCCAGGCCCTGCAGGATCCTGATATCAAGGGCATGGATGGAATTTTTGCTATTTACATGTTGACAATATTAACATGTAAATAGCAGAGAGTTCATTTTAGTAGGGCTCTGGGCAGAAAATAAAACTGACAGCAGAGTGTATTCCTAATTCCCCTGGCAAGGCCGCGAGGAGGAATGAAACGGGAAGCGATGCTTGCCGTGGGATCAGAGCGTTCCTGTTGAGTGACTTGGGCAGTAAACGCAGCGTTTTATCTTTGTTTGGAATATGGTGATCCCCGCTGACAAGAGCAGGTTGCGTGTGGCTGCTGGGCCGGCTTGCTGGCGCCGCGCTGTGGAGCGTGGTTGGGAAGGATGTTACCCAGAAAGAACAGCATGGCTGCCAGCGCCCCGGGCGATGCATGGTGAGACTGTCCCCTCGTTCACATAGCTCCATACTTTCTTTTTTTCCTGTGACAAAGCAAATGGACTACCTGAATTTAAAATGCTACTGAGGGGGTTTGTTCCTAGGACTACTCTGTGTTTTAAGCGAGGTCTTTGACTGACAGGTGAGCAGGGGACAAACCTGTGGTTTGCATGCTTCTCATACATAAGAAAACGGACATAACTCCAACTCTAGTCCTTACCACCTGGACCAGGGAAAGGGAGTAAATCTTGAGTTTTAAGGTCATGGTGGTAAAATGGGCTGTGCTGTGTCCCCCACCAATTCATATGTTGAAGTCCTAACACCCCCCTCACCCGCACCTCAGAATGTGACTATATTTGGTAACAGGGTCTTTTAGAGGTCATTAAAGCTAAATGAAATCACTAGGTGGGCCTAAATCCAGTCTGACTGGTGTCTTTATAAGAAGAGGAGATTAGGACAAGACACACACACAGAGGGAAGATCATATGAAGACACTGAAAGAAGATGGGCATCTACGCACCAAGGAGAGAGGCTCTCAGAAGAAACGAACCCTGCCAACACCTTGATCTTGGACTTCCAGTCTCCAGAATTGCAAGGGAATGGATCCCTATTGTTTAAGCCACCCAATCGGTGGTGCATTGTCATGGCAGCCCCAGCAAACCGATACAGGGCGCTGGGTCCTAATGTGCTCAAGGATGTGAGAAACAATGGGGGGTGGGGGGGGGGGGGAGGAAGTTTCACAGTATTTAGGGGATTTCAGGCATCATTTTAGCTGATGTAACTTAAGAAGGGTGGATTCCGTAAATCTCAGCTCAGATGCTAGGCTAGGTGGAAAGTAGGTTGTTATCGCTTGGCAAAATACCTGTAAAAGTGCAGTTGCTCGTAGCTTCCTGTTTTTAAGGCAGAACTGACATCTTGAACCAAGGAAATGCTGTGAAGGACCTATTTGGCCCTTCGAACAAATCTCTGTATTTTTGTTTGAGCCAATCAATCGGTTCTCCAAGGCGTCAGCTGGTAACAGACGTGTCTGTCAATACAACAGCACTGCCTTCGCGGGGCAGGTTGTGTGCACAGCGGGAAGCACCACTCGGCAGTTACTTATATTTGAAAAATGAATGGCCCGGGATTATGTGTTTCAGGAGGTGAGGTTAAAGTGGGGTCAAGGGCCAGGTTAATGCTAGTACAGTGTCCACTGGAGAAAGAGAGCACCATGTATCGATTTCAGGGAAATGATATGTGTTTCTCGCCTTGCTTCCCAGCCCTGCTTCTCATCTGTCCAGCGACGTCCTTCGGCAGAGTCCACACACCCTCTGCCTTCCAGAGGCACCCCTGCCAACTGCTGCTGTCGGAAACGCTGAATCATGAGAGCATAACTGGAGGACAAATAAATATTCCGTACGTAGCAGAAACATGCACATGACTCAATTGGGTTTGGCCGCTGAGCCTTTTGGTTCAGTTTGCTCTCACCAGCTGCGAGCAGCACTCAGCTGACCTTCCCCATCTTGTACCCCATTTGGTTCGGTGTCCCACAGGGAATCCCCTTACATTGCCTCCTGCTCAGCTGAACAGACACAAATGTTAATGGAATTCTGTGTCCCTTAATGTAATACAAGTCCCCTCTTGGAATAGGGAAATCTACTACTTGGAGGAACACTGGTTAGAGATCATCTTATACAGTCAGACCTCTGTATGCACGGGTTCCCTATCTACGGGTTCCATGTCCACGGATTCAACCAACCGCAGAGCAAAAATATTCGGAAAAAAGTTAAGCTGTTACTGCCATGTACTACTGTAGTTAGGCCTACAAAGGTTGTCTCTGAACTAAACAAGTATAGACATTTTTTCCTTGTCATTATTCCCTAAACAATACAGTGTAACAATTATTTACACAGCATTTACATTGTATTAGGTATTATAAGTAGTCTAGGAATGATTTAAAGTATACATAAGGATGCACATAGGTTGTCTGCAAATACTATGCCATTTTATATAAGGGAATTGAGCATCTGTGGACTTTGGTATCCATAGAGGTTCTAGAACCAATCTCCCAGGTATGGAGGGACAACTGTATCCTTGTGTAATATATGCATTGCTTTTTAGAGAGGGGAAGGAAGAGATAGAGATAGAGATATAGATAGAGAGAGAGAGAGAAACATCAATGTGAGAAAGAAATATCAATCAGTTGCCTCCCACATGCGCCCTAACCAGGGCCAGGGATCAAACCCAAAACCTAGGAATGTGCCCTGACTGGGAATCGAACCTGAGACCTTCCAGTGCCTGGACAACGCTTCTACCGACTGAGCCATATCGGCCAGGGCTGTGGTTATGTAAATTCACTGAGTGCTGCCCTTTCTTATAACAGGACACTGGAACCAAGAAGGAAGTGTCCCTTTCTCAATTGCTATTCTTGTTCTCTGTATTATAGCTCTTCTTTCTTCCAAAATGCCAATTTCCAAATCACTACGCTTATATAAAACCCAAGTCACACTACTTTTCTAAACTACTTTCAAGTCCCTTTTCTGGGATTTAATATCTCCTACGACAACGAAAACTGGACACAGAATAGCACTAATGTTTTATATGTTATCTTAAATTTTCTATATTATTTTCCTTTCAACCGCCCCCCACCCCGAAGCATCCTACTGGCTTTTGAAATTGGTGCTGTCTACCAGACAGATATTTTCCCCAAGTTATCAGCCATGACTCTTAAATTATTTTACTATGAGTTCAGAACCTATCAGAGATTATGAGAAGTTTAGATTATTTTTCCCAAAGAGCATTATTTTACACTTAACCAAATTAAATTTCATCTGCTTTCACACTACCCAATCCCCTGGTTTGTTTAAGCATTGCCTGAAGTGTCTCGCAGCAATCCTTAATTTTTTTATTAACCGTACCAATGCAATGCTTCCTACTTAACTCTCTGCTTTAGCGCTTTTGCCCTCGACTCTCTTCATGCTCTGGAAAGTCAGTGGGTTTCAGAAGGTGTGGAAGGAAGCACTATTAGGGACCATGCTATGCTAAGTGATATGTAAAATATTCTGAGAAGTTAACAACAACACTCCTGAAGGTGCGGCACCAGGGTCAAATTCAGCTTCGCAAATCACCTCCCTTCCTGTGTGGAGAATAAATGATCCAAAAAACGTTTCCCATTTCATTTGGATATTACATTTAAAACTCAGACAGGATTCCTAGCAGATTGCCAATTTCCTGCTGAGCTGCCCTCTCCTCGGGCTTCCTTTGTGACCTCTGGTGGCTAAAGGTGGCCTGCCCAAAGCCTTCCCTCCCTCCCTCCCTCCCTCCCTCCCTCCCTCCCTCCCTCCCTCCCTCCCTCCCTCCCTCCCTCTTCTTCAGGGTGGTTTCTTTTTAAATAGAAACTAGACCAGTGAGTTTACCAGAGGCTTTTCCATGGTTATTTTCTGGTTTCTCTTTTCAGATTCCAAAAGCAAGATGAGTATGTTGCACTTTGTCTGGAGTTCTTTGCTCTTAACTGTCTCCAATCCTCTCCCCCACACGGCCAGAAGAGGGTGTTGGACCTGGCAGGATAATGACCTCTCACTGTTAAAG